TTAATAGTTTATCATTGTCCTGTTAATAATTCATGAATATTTTTAGATTATATATCTCACCACGTATGACCTTTGAAAAGTTGAGCACGTGATCAAATATGTTTCATCCATAATTTAAAAGAGAAATTATATATCATAGATTGCTTTGATACTAATTATAATTAAACAACATGACAAGAACAATTAAAATATGAACTAGATAATATGATACCATAGCTCGAGTCAATCTTGCGAGCTGATTGATGAGCCGAACTCGAGTAATGAGTCAAGCTTAAATTGAACTCGAATCTAATACAAGCCAAGATTTTAGTAAACAAGCCGAGGCCAAATTAGATTAAAATTCGACTCGACTTAACTCATTTGCAGCACCAATTTACGGTAATGTTTTTGAAGTCAGTTATAATGACAGTTTTATCTTACGTACTGAATGACTAACATATTCTCCCCTGATTTGATCCCTTAAAGAAATCCCGAAACATAACTAACATTTAAACCCACATTTATGATATGGACAAATAGGGGTAAATGCCATATTTGGTCACTAAGATTACTAAATCGTGTCATGTTTAGTCACTACAAAAATTTAATATCAATTTTGATCACTAGAATTACTGGAACATGTCACATTTAGTCACTCTCCCGGCTTTAACAGAAACTAACGGGAGAGTGACTAAATGTGACATGTTTCAGTTTTTCTAGTGACTGGAGTTGGGCGGAGCCTAATGGGAGAGTGACTAAATGTGACCAGTTTCAGTAATTCGAGTGACCAAAATTGATATTAAATTTTTGTAGTGATTAAACATGACACGATTTAGTAATCTTAGTGATGAAATATGGCATTTACCCGGATAAATAGGCATATATAATGTTTCTAATTCAGATGAAACAACGGTTTGAACTTTCTATACATAATTAAATAGCAATAATATGGTAGGGAAAATGTTGGTAAATCTTGTGCTGTGAAATGGTAAATGAGGGGTAGGGTTGGTTTGATTGATGCCCAATTTGGTAGCTTCCCTCCAATTTCTGGAACCTTCAGCGGCAGATCCATTACCAACTATTAATGCGTGTTCAAACCGAAAGCTACTTTCTCCTGTTTTAAGTTTATTAAAAAAAAAGTTTTTGTTTTATGGTGTTATTCTTTTATTTGGATTTCTCCAACCTAACTACTTCCTCTTTCTGAAACTTTCTTTACCTAAGAGCCAAAAATATAAATGATTATATTAAAAAATCATTTAAAAACTTATTATTAGATTAATTAATAGAGGAAATCCAATCGTCATTTATTGAGTTGCCGATCAAAGTGATTCTCGATCGGTGTCTTGTTTTCCATTGTTCTTCTATACGTACGAACCGTATTTTCTCTACTTTAATTTGGGCGACCATCAGATTAATGAAAATAGAGAATCTTTGTATTGAATCAACTTACATGTTTGTCCTCAGAAAAATAATGCCAAAGGTAAAAAGAACGGGTCCCATCAATTTTGTTTCCCAAATACACGATCTTAAAATTTAGCTGAAAAAAGGAAAAAAGAGGAAGGGATAGAATAGAACATAAAAAGGATAATCCCACAAAGATATAGGATCTTCAATTTTAGCAAAGATCTCGTATCTCATAGTTCTATAGATTTTGAATCTTATTTTTAAATTTATAATATATATATATATATATATATAAAATTTACGCCCGTCAGTTGTACATTGTACGCCCGTCGAGTTTGACTATTTAAAGCATGATTTAACCGAAGTTTGGGGCATGATACTATACCCTAACCTCTAATTGGTGAACCCTAGTCCCTAATTCCCTAACCCAAACCCTAAGATTCATTTAATCTAAAAAATTACTAACCGATGGTCCTGATTCAGCTAAATATATTGAAGTGCAAAAACCAAGTATGAACACAGACGTATAACATACGCCAGTTGTACGCTAGCCGTTGCCATATATATAACAGAGTTTGATGTACTTTTCTCCATTTTAAAATTCCTTCTTCCTTCTTAATTTTGGGTAGGGTTAAATTTGTAATTTCAGACAACACCTCTATTGCCCCTTTTGTATGGTTCGACTTGACTCGAGTTGAAGTGAATTTATTCAGTTCATTTTGATCCGACTTGTTGCTCTAATTTGAACCTGCTCGACCCGAGTTGGTTCGAATCATGAGTTCGGGTCGTCCATCCTTGATCAGCTCCTACCCATCACTGGTTGATGGGTCTATCTCCCGCTAGGGTCCCACCTAGCTCGAGTTGCCTCCTCTGATTCGTTGGGTAAGGCCAAGTTGGCCCGACCCACCACCATCTTTAGCATGCTTCTTGCGAGCAGCCCAAGCTCACTCTTCTACACTATATTTTAACCCACCAATGGGCCCATGGCTCATGGGTCGTGGGTGTCGATAGCAGACCTGCCAAAGTGATCAACCCACAATCCACCCAGGTCTCTGACCCATGGTTTGAGTCGTTCTGCCCTAGTACGCCATCGGTGTAGCCTGCTCTGTTGTCATCGCTTCTGCCAGGGCCGAGGGCGAGAACGTCAGCGATGAAGAGGTCGTCATAGTCTTCATCGTTGTTATAACCTTGTCGAGTGACCTTCTGCAGCTTTCTCGTGGGTCGTCAAGACCTCTAAGGCTTCTTCTTATGGTTTTGTCACTGTTGTCGTCGGGACCGATAGAGAGATCGTTTGCGATGAAGAGGTCATCATACTCGTGGCCTTGTCCCATCCTAGTAACATTTCGTGAATATCTCGTGGTGCGTCAAGACATAGAGAGATCGTTTGCGATGAAGAGGTCATCATACTCGTGGCCTTGTCCCATCCTAGTAACATTTCGTGAATATCTCGTGGTGCGTCAAGACATATAGGGCTTCTTTTGATGTCCTTATCTATTTCATAGTGACCTTCGATCCCTCGAACTAGGAAATCAATTTCAACATCATCTTCTGAAATTCATTCAAGTCTTCTTTTGCTCTCTACGAAGTTCCGTAGATCATAGACAAAACCCGTGACATCTTTCCATCCATCATGACCTGGTTCTCCTCCACGGCTCCACCAATGGCATAAGCTTCTTGAAGCTTTCCTCCATGGTGATAAGTTCAACATCAACTGTGTCTTTCAAAGATCGCACCAGTGAAAACGTCTATGTTTTGTGCATAAAACCTGTCACTCTACTGGCTATAATACCATTGGTAGAACCCGGATATAGAGTGTCAATGATAGGGATAGATAATTGAGAATGAGAAATGCGAATTATGAGAGAATTAGGTATTGAGAAAAATAGAATTATGAAAGAATTTGGGGAAGAACAAGAGAAGGATCGGCCAGAAAGAGAGTGACGACGAGAAGAAGGGAAAGAGAGGGGGAGGAATCTACCAAAAGAAGAGAAAAAAGAGACTTGAGTTTAGAGAATAATTCTTTTGTATTCATTTACCTAAATCCAACTCACAATTACAGAAAATATAAACCTGACAAAATCTCTTAACCCCTACCACAAAAATAGTAAAATACCACAAATATATCAACACCCTAACCCCCTTCCCTTTTAAAGTACTCAAATAATACCACAACAACAAAGAAAATACCATAAAGTATAATAAATAATTCGAATATCCAAAATCCAATAGAAACAAAGAATGCTCAAGAAGCAAAACAACCCTCCTACTACCTAAACTTCCCGTTATGATGGCCAACTTGCTTAATGGTATTTTTAAAGAGAAATCCAAGTCTTCTTCCCTAAGTCGTGTCCTTCATTATATGCCTGACTCCCCAACCTTAACCAGATAAGTAGTGATAACTTAACTAAAGGAAAGAAGATAACAAGTCATTTTCCTCCTAAATTTTTTGGTGTTGTTTGTAGCCCCCATTGAATTGAAAGGAAGCAAAAGCATATACCAATTACCAAGGGCTTGGCTTGGCTGGTCCAACGGGGAATCAAAGCTCGCAGGCTGACAGCACTAAGTTATGAGCTGGCCCTGCTTGTGATGCAGCACAACTTGTCTGCTCTGGCCTTCAATCTCTTTTTTTTGCTTCTTTACTTCCACCTCTGTCTTTCTCCATCCTTTTGTCTTCTTCCAATCAATCATCATTCATCAACAGTTCAACACCTTTATCTGGATTAACACAAACCTAATTGTTGTTACCAGAGATGCAATAAGCTTCATCTGATGACATTTGCAGATCTTTCACATTTCACCTCTTTTTACTTGCTACCCACACAGACTTTCTTTTATGACTGCGACCTTGGCATGCACAAATCGATGCGAGTTACAGCTATGTCGATGACTAACAAAACGACTACTTCGTAATGATTAAGTTGCGAGAATCGAACCAGCGAAACCTCATGCCTCACCATTCAGCCATCCTTGATGATTAGAAAAGAAGATCAGTTGGAGAGCTTTAATCCTATGACTTGCCGACACAGATCAGTGGACTTAAAATTGGGTCAATGAACAGTGTAGTCCCAGCACAGAAGATTAATCAGAAACAATGAACAACTGAATGAACGGTATTATTAATCTCATCATCATTCTCCCCAACAAAACTGAAGAGCTCCATTTACATACAAAGAAAGAGATGAACATCTCCCAGAATATGTAAAAAAGAAAGCTCCAGAAGGAGATCATTCAATCACCATTTCATCATCAACTTAATCAACAAACAAACATAATCCCTCCTCCCCAGAAAATACAAAGAATTCACAAATCAACCCACCAAAAAGGTAGAAAATTACACAGAGCAACAATCCAAATCCCCCAGCCCCCAAAAGGGTAGAGGGAATTTCTCTTGCCTCTGCAAGCTTTCTGGTTCATCCCCCCCAAATGGCAAATTTCCACCTCCAAACAGAGAGAGAGAGAGAGAGAGAGAGAGAGCTAGCTATAGCTCTGCCTTTTCTAATCTGTACACAGCTATCAAAGAATCAATCCCCTTTGAATGTGTGAAGCCAAAAAAGAATAATTTATGAAACAAAGAATTCAACCCTCCCCAACCCACATCCAATCTTTTTTCTCTTTTTTCACAAGTAACTGGAAAGACCAGCCACTGATGCAGAACCCAGAAGATCATTGGTTTTGCTACTGATGCTGCTTCCATGGTGGAGATCATAAGGCTCCCACAAATGATCAAGTGGGCAAGGAGTTTTAGCATCAAGCCTAGCCCATGGCTTCCCTTTCCCACTCCAATGCAGCAAGCTCACCGGACCGGGATGCAGAGACCGGCAGCTTCCCCTCACATTATCCCCTCCTAGCCCGTGCTGGTTCCACCGGTGGTCGATGGCCTCCACGTTCCCGGCGAACACCAACAAGAACGGCGGCAGGGAACCCAGATCGTAAATCCTCCTCTGCCTCTGAATCTCCATCCACATCGCAATCCTCTTCCTGTAGTTCCCTTCCCTCCACCGCACCAAATCCATCACCATCACCCCCGTATTGAAGTAACACGGCCGCCGGGAGGCGAAGACCCGGGACATAACCGGGTCGGACCAGAACGCCGGCGTGAAGTACTTGGTGAAGTTAGCGTGGCAGTACTCGGGCGCCCCGATGACCCGCGACCCGGTCAGAACCGTGCTCCATAGCTTCTGAATGTCGTCCACCACCACCAAATCGGAGTCCAGGTAGATGACCCGCTCCACGCAGGATTCCAGCAAATCGCCGAGGTAGTTCCGGGCGTAGTTGAGCGGGTTCTCCAAGGCCTGCCGGATTGATGCAGAGATGAGATTGATGACTTTATCTTCCCTGAAAATGTGGACCGAGAAGCGGAGGGACGGGAAAGTGGACCGGACCAGCCGGTTCAGGACCCGCGGGCTGGCCGGGTCGAACTCCGCCGCGATGAAGTGGAAGTAGACGTTTTCCGGGCAGGACGCGTGCTTGAGGACCGAGTGGACGGCGGCCATTGAGCCCCTGAGATACTCCGAATCGAGGGTCATGGCGATGTGGACCAGAGACGGGTCGCATGACGAAGCGCCGGAAATCGGGCACCCGACGCCGTTCCGGTACTCGGGGGCTTCGTTGAATCGGAGCAACCCGGCGAGATCCGCGCCGTCGGGGACGGAACGAATCCCGAGGCAGAAGGATGAGGAGAGAATCGATACTACGACGAAGCCAAACAGACCCAGTAAATCTGACCTGAATAATCCTCCATTTGCAGCCATCTTGAGAACTGGGGGTTTTTTTTCTGGGTGTGGACGGCTATAGAAAAAGAGGGTAGTGAGTGTTTTAGCTTTTAATAATGGTGGTGGTGATGTAGAAGACGACTCTTCTGGAAAATGTGCTGGACGCGGAGAAGCATCATAGCTTCGGAAGGAGGGAGAGAAATCAATGGTCAGCTGTCAAAATATAACAGATGGTAAAATCCATCAACAGAGACTAGCTGAAATCAACGCGGCGGGGGCTATGGCTGCGCTGATTTTCCTTCGTTTTCCCGGATTTTCCAGGAAAGGGAGAGAAAGAGAGGATAAGTGAAGAAAAGGAAACGCGGCTATTTTACTTTCCTTCCCCTTTTTCACCCCTTTCCGTTTCCTTCCCTTCCAATGCCGATTGAAGGAAGAGGAAGCAATATCGAAACAGAAGAAATCAAACCCAGAAAACCCCCACGAACGCTACAGCCAAACTGTGTAATCAAATCCCAGAAATTTTCTCTCTCTCTTCCCTTTCCTTTTCTCTCTATCTCCCTCCCTCTTCCGTCTCTCTCTAGGCGGATGGAGACGACGAAGAAAGTTTCGCCAGCTCTTATAAATTTCTCGCCAACGAAAGTGATATAAAATTTAAGAGAAAAGAAAAGAAAAAAAAAACTGCGGCCGAAATTGCCAAACTGGCTACCAGCTTAGGCTAACCAAAGTATTGGGTTCTTTCCTTCTTTATAATTTAATCTCGTCTCGCGGGGAAGAAGCGAGTGAAGGCGACGCGAGGAAACTAGGCGCGTGGCCCGTTTTGGAGGCATATAGTGTATAAAGATGCGTATTTCTTATAAATCTTAATTTTTTATATAAATCTTAACGTAATTTCTCGGTTTAAATGTGAAATTATAATAATAGGAAGTTTTCTAATTGGAATTTAATTGTGTTGTCTCTTTGGATTGGGATGTGTCTGCATTATCGTTTTTATTATTTTTGAAGGAGTATATCGTATTTGTTTAATTTTAGTGTTTTTATAGAAAATGTAAATTAGTTATGGAATACAATATCACATTTTTTTATATTTATTAATTTACACTTTGATATCACGTCTTATGTCTCACGTAACACAATATATTATGTAAAGTATATCACTACGCACCAATAAAATGTAAGAAAATTTTGTGCATAATTATGTGAAAATGAATGTCATAGTTTTTTATTTAAAAATTTTTGTAAATCTAAATCAAAATGAAGGAAAATAGGGTTATTTCCAAGGTTGTAAACCAGTCGGTTGATCCATTTTGACGTTGACCTCGTGAGAAAAAAAAAGGGCACCTTCCGGATTGACCCGCTGTAAGAGTACTGGTTTGGAGGTCACTCGATATTGTTTTTCCCTTTGGTTTCCAAAATGCACCCATTCTCCGGTTTTCTTCTTCACCTAACCCTATTTTTGGAGTTCTAAGTTAAACATTTGAATATTGAAGTTATATAAGTGTGTTTTAATATTTACTATACATTGGATCAAAGTACGAACTATTATTTTGGTGTAGTATCATATGTTATTACTCATATTTTAGATGAGATTCGATATCATTTATAAAGGTATAAAATATAATGACTTTTTCGTATATCCTGTCTAAACCGGGCCAAAGTAGTCGAACCATTAACCCTCTACTTTCGACCGGCCAAACGGCTAAACCGGCTTACAAACCATTAACCATTACATAATAATGTTTCTAGACATGGGATGTATAGTGGAACGCACGAATAATATGACATGTCCAGTGTATTGATCAAACATATTCTCAGGTTCGAGGCTTAGTCATTATTAGGCAAAAATCTTATTTTAAATGTTTTCTGTTTGGGTAATGAGAACGATAGTTATGGTAAAGAATTATGATTAGGATCCATATAGTTCTCTGCACTGTTTTGCTAAATGTGCTTAGTTTATCTGCTTACCAGGTCATTAAAATTTTATGGCAAAAATGGAAGAACTAATTATTATTCCCCAATTGGTTGGCTCCCATGTGACAGCTAGTTGACATTGAACGCCTTTTGTTTATTTCCCCAAAAAATACACCCATATTCAACAATAAAATTACTAAAATTGCTTGCAAAAAAAAAAAATACATTTTATTTCCCTCGTTATGTTATTTCCATAGCGACCATTTTTTTGTTGCCATTGTGACCGTATTTTGTTTCCCATTTGGAGTGGATACTATAAGGAGAAGTTACTTGATACGGGCAAAGCTTGCTATATGTTCTTGTACTAGTAATAGCTAAATCTTGAGGGAAGTACATTGAGTAGTTAGATGCTAACATTTGATAGATATAATGGAGTTAATGGGATTTTCTGTCATTTTAGCTTGTACGGTTTATTTGAGTTTACGTCTCTTACACTTACATGTAAGCTCCGGTTCGACTCTAATCTCTCCTGTAGTCCGTATATTACAAGAATTTCTACCTTAACAATGATTATTAGTCCTACTGGAGAGAAGAAAAAAAAAAAGAATATAGCTTTTGGACTATGCCATTTGCATCATGGACAAAATTTCTTTGTACGATTTAAATCGCCCTTTCACGCTTCATTTTCATTTCCATCTAACACTCTAGTACGTAGCCTACTATATTGTACAAAACTTGTGTCTAAGCTTAGAACCTAATGCCGTAGGTTCCTTTTGAGAATCTCAAATCTAAGGAATCTAACACACTTTCCACTATGAAATACACTTGTGAGTTGTAAAAAGTTTGGATTTTACATTAGATCTTGTGCGAGTTTTGACCTAGTTAGGGTTCTTGGTGGCCTTGTGGATTGGGGTTAATTGATTGAGTAGTAAAGGGGAAGCCAGCTGTGCAAGAAAAGGCAGCCAGCTGTGATGTGGCTGCCTACCATTACTATTGCCATTGCCACTTCCTGACTTTGACACTGACGGCTGTGATGTTTAGCTGGCAATCCCAGTCCCCACCCATGTGGCCACGTGGCCTCTCTCTCTCACTTAACAAATTCATCCCCGTTCTTTTCTCTGAAGAGTTTTGCTGTTAAGTGTTAACTGTTAACAACAACAATAAAATGAGGGTTGATAACTCTATATCAAACCATGATCTGTGTTTAAACTTTAAACAACATAATTAATTATCTTGTTTTAATAATTATCATGTTTTACTGCATATAATTTTATCCGAATTTTAAAAAAATTCTTTGATTTCCGAATTTTTAACTGATATTGTATATGGCCGGCTTTTTGTGTTGATTATTCGTGGCATTATGAGAAATTTTTCTGGTGATATTTTAACACTAAGAGATAAATATCTTGTTTTTGCCAAAATTAGGTAATTTCTATGGTGCTCTAAAGAATTTGGGGTATGGATGGTATAGAGTATTGTTATTTATCGCCCTACTTTTTACTAATCATCGCTCTCAATAGGGATATCAATGAAAGATAATAGTGAAACTTATAATTCTATCGAGGACCCTTAAAAGACTCTAAAGAAGTCACCCAAAAAATCAAAAGATTCTAGCTCTAAACGAGACAAAAGCAGTGCTTTACACGCCACTCTATGGGCAACACTGTTGGCGGACCAAGGTAACGCCCTAAACTTTATACAAACAGACAAAGAGCTAAGGATCCGATGACACTCTCGTAACACCGGACCACCAATCGAGTCTTCAATGGTGCCTTGACTGATTTGGTTAACAACCACTTCAATAGATATAAAAAGTCATAAATGCCCTTAATGAATTCCCCCTCTCATTCCCTTCCTCTCACTCTAGTATGGACCATCCTATTTTACATGGTCCGGACCGGGATTGACAATTCCACTATTCAAACATCATATTCTTCTGAAACAAATAACATATTCACGTAATACAAATATCATATTCTCATTAACACAAATACAATATTTTTATGAGAGTAATTAAAACAACATATTCACGTAATATAAATATCATATTCTCATTACCCATATACAAATATCATATTCACACATCATATTCGTATAGGAATATGATATTTATGCTATGTGAATATTGTATTTGTGTGATGTGAATATGATTTTTCCTTCCCTCTTCCTATTAAAAAACTTAGCTCACATTAAAAGTAAAAAATTTCAATTTAAAAGGACTTTGACCCGAACCATGTAAAATTACATGGTCGAACCTGGTATGGACCATCCTCTTTTAAATGATTTTGTCCAGAACGGACCATCCTATTTTACATGGTTTGTCCTAAGACGAACAATGTCACTTTACATGGTCCAAGAAAAGAAAGGCAAATGTAGAAGGAGAAGAGGAAGGTTTATTTCATTAAGGGTATATCGTTCTTTTTATATCAAAGTAGGGCAACAATTAGTAAAAAGTAGGGCGGCAAATAGCAAAGCATATGGTATAATTTCAGGGATCGCAACCTAGAGTCTCAAGTTAACCATAACTTTAAGTATGGTATATTCTGAAACCTAAACCTAACTTTTTTAATTAAAAATAACAATCTACGATCTTAATGAAACGGTTTCAAATATGGAAATATATCAAAGGTATCATAGAGTTATACATATGGGATTTCTGCCGTATTCATGGTAAATACGGGAGTACGGCAATACCTTGAGTAATATACATTATCCAGATCTTGAATTGACTAGACTTTGTGATACTGTATCTAAGTTTTTAACCATTAAAGATAAAATATAAGTATTTTCTAAATCTTATACACTACAATTAATTTAATTATAAACGATTATCGATAGCATGATTCGTTGATTTAGGTTTACGATTTAGACAAATAAGACTTAGGTTTACGATTTAGATAAATAAGACTTACAGTTCATTTATTAAGGAGTAGAGTTTAGTTTCATGCCCCAAAATTAGTTAATTCGATGTCTTGATACCGTTTTCTTATTAGGAGCATGCAGTTCCCCTGAATTTGCAGTGGATAATATAGAAGTTACCATATTTATATGTATATATAGTTCGAGCTAGCGTATGCTACCCTTACCATACACCCAAGGGCGGACCCAAGTGGAGAGTATGGGTGTCCCGA